CCGCCACCCCCAGCGACACTTCCGCAGCGCAGCGGCATGGAGCGGGCCGGCCGGAGCCAGGGAGTCGCCGCGCGCGCCCGGAGCGCCGGGGTGGCTGCAGCGGCCGCTGGTCCCTTCCCCGCCCCCCGCGCTCGGCTGCTGCGTGCGCGGAACTGAGCCCACCCGGCCAGTCCGCGGAGCCGCGGCGGCTGCTGCCACGGCTACCGCCGCCGTCGAGTCATGTGATAATCTGGCTGCCAGGGCTCAAGCTGCTGCGGTGGCCGCGGCTCAGCCCCTCCCCTGCCGGCCGCGAGAGGCTAGCTCCAGGACCGTGACCTCGGGGGGAGGGGAGCCGCTGGGTCGGTACCTGGCGCGGGCGCGGGGGCGCTGTGAGCCGCGGGCGGCGCAGGTGTTAGGGACCGTCACGTGGGGCCGGGCCGCCGGGAGCAGCCAGTGGAGGAATCCGCTCCCGGAGGAATGGTGCCTTCGCCTGCGGAAAGGAGACGGCTGCAGCGGAGAGGAGAGACAGGTGCAATCTTGGCGGGACGGCTCCAACTCCTGCAGCGAAATCGAGCCGCCAGTGGGTGTGAGACTTTTCGGAGCTAAAACCAAAAACTCATACCGATTGCACAAGAATCGTTAAAACTTTTCCCCCTAGGGCCTAGGCATTCCCAGAGTTGCTTTTCTTTTTCTGTCATGACCACCACACGCATCATTACCTTTGGAGCAAACCTTTTTTCACATCCAGGAATAAGCTTAATAGAGAAAAAAATAAAGATCTTAAAGGAATGACAAACAAGCACAATTTTATCTAGTACTCAGTTGCTAAAGGTGCAGACGCATTTTCCTCTTAGATAGCAACAAAAGTATCTTTTCAAAGCTGACCCCGTTGGGTAAAGAGACACTCGACACACCAGTACTTTTACTTAATTTAAAACGTTACAAAGTTATCTGAAGGCACTTATAAAACCGCAACTTTGATAGAGGGTAGCAACTCAGTGGGACAGTACAGTAAAAATGAAGAAATACTTGCAATAATTAAATACTTTTTGTGATCTTATATTAAAACAGAAAAATATCTGTGAAACGACGATGGATGTCCTTTATCCAAGGTAATGTCTCTCTTCACTATTGCCCCCACGGTTTAATGTTTGCAGTAGGACCTGCCTCCCCGCTCATGTGTACTTACCTGCATCCTGTTCCCGTTTACCCACCATTGAACGTGCCAGGATTCTGTGTTACTTGTGCAGTTATGCCTGGAACAACTCCCTTGGAGTTCAAGAGGGAATCCAGGCCTCATTCTTCTCAGTCAGTGGGGGAGAGAGAGCTGCCAGGCGCTGCAAGGCAGGCTGATTCTCAGGAGACGCAGTCTGAGTCCGGGAGGCCTTGCTGGTCGGGAGCCCTGGGGAAACCTCACTGGTCTCTTTTCTTCAGTATCCATAATCTTCTTTTTAAAAGGCATTTCCCCCTTTGACTTTTTCATGAATAAGTATTCTTCGTGATTAGGTAAAAGTGACAGAATTTCAGACTGCCTCTGCTATGGATGAGGTTAATTACCATCATTATTATTACTTTTCACAGAAGAGAGATGTAATATCCTCTTGGGTCCTTCTCTCCCTCCAATTTTAAAATAGTACAATTTTGACCATTAAATGATGCCATAGCACTAATAAGACTCATTGGACTATTTTCTTTTCTTTCTTTCTTTTC